GAATGAGGAGGGGTTATGGATAAGATAGAATGTGAAAATGGAGTTACTTCTTAGTAATATAGATTGTGATTTTTCTAAATAGCATTTGTTGAACAAATTTTTCATTTTATTTTTTAAACTATTACTAACTTTAATCCACTTTTTGACTCAATAATTACTGATTTATCTTTTACCCGTTAAGTTCAACGGTACTAGCTCGGTAATTAAGGTGTTCGGCATCCAGCTTAAGTTGCATTTTCAAACCACGTTCAGCCCGTTTTGGTCTGGGCAACTAGGTAGTATTATTAGCTCCCACACTGTGAGTGTGTTTGACAGTCAAACAAACATAACCGTACTTGGTAAGGTGTTGGCAAACATAACGGTCGTTTAACTACAAATTTGTTTACCAATTTTGTATCAGAAATGTTTTCGTTATGTGGGTCACTTGTAGCCTATTATTGTACCTGTATGGACACACCGGTAATGAGGCAGGAGAACTTAAATGTTTGTAAAAATACAAATTTCTATGCTTCTTTCCTATCGAGTAAAAAGGTGAGGATAGGACTTTGAAGTTTGTTATCAGTGAATGGTAAGAAATCGCAACCTTTAGTCGTCACGATTACCTGTAAAAAATATCTATTTGTTGTTGTAAATATTATCGACTGAGAATATCTTTGCTTTCAATCCATCTACATTTATGCGACTGCTTGTTATATGATTAAAAACTAATTCCGCGATTGATTTAAACAAATATATCGCCAGTGAACAATTTTCAGTAACAATTTATATTTCTTATACTGACTGAAAGCTATGGCATTATCTCTGGTAATATAATTCGAGTACTGGATGACTTTATTCCTTCTGAAGATCATTTTAACTTATATGATCGTAATTTCGACTGGCTATCGTATTGAGGATAACTGATTCTTGTTTCTGAAACCAGCTTACTTAATTCCATTTTTTGGCCAGCAATACTCAATGATGCTTTTCTCACTAAATAAAAGTTCTGAATGATAAAATTCTAATGATTATATTTAACACTTATTTCATTACAATTAACTGTTACACTGTAATAAAAACAATGATAATTATAATTGATTTCAAAAATATTCATATAAGGGATATAAATCTAGCTGGTATTGATGAAATAAGTAGCTTTGCTTTTCAGTGAAGTCAATTTCATTGAATCCACAGTGAAGTGATAGATACCTAATTGTAATTGTTGAATACTAATGAAATCTCTTGATCCAAAGTTCCATTTTAATATTTATGGTATATAACACATTCTATATAAAGCATTTTATAGATGTTGATCAGTATTTCCTTTGTGATGTTGAGTTCTCTGAGTTGAATGTTTCAATTGCAAAGCTTTGGTTACCTTTTCAGATAATATCATTAGGGCTTACTTCAAATATAAATTGTCTAGAATACCAGAGGAAGATTCATAATCAACCCAACCATATCATCGATATTAAAATTATCAAAACCATTCGCCTGAGCTATACACTTTTCAGATCATCTGAAAATCTTACGACCGTAACATGCTTTTAGTTAATTATTATTTCTTAAACTACTACGAATTGTCCTGTATTGTTTATTAAACAATATAATGATTTGGAAACAATTAAAAAGGTCAAACAAGACAGTTAGAAATATAAAAACAACAAGGATAATGAAGAAAATAAAATTGTCCACATTGTCACTGACATCGAATAATGAAATCAAAAATGCAAAGGTAGTTTTAGAATAAATGCAAACTGTTTATGAATACAGAACGGGAGTTTAAATTCTTTTGTGCTTAAGGCTTCGGTAAATATAGTCGGGCGCCCTTGATTATTCCTATGCTATACTCGAAGGGATGTTTCTGGCTAAATCCCTCAACCAGTTTCTATCGTGTCCGTAATCGCAGAGAAGTATGGATATTTAGTGTCTATTCTAATTCGAACAATGCAGTTCGCATTTTATTTTTCTGAACCATTTCAGTGAATTTTGACTGGAGTTTCATGTAATGCACCAATTTTATCAAGGAAATAATTTGTTTTAAAAATCAATCCCCTCTTGAAAGACAATACATCAACACTAGTTACCCTATAAATAATGTTCAATTAAGGTCACCTGAATGGAGGTTATATATCACAGGTACTACCATAACTATGCGCAATAGTTGTCTGGCATAGTCGAAGATGTTTTAAGGGGTTTCATCAAGGTAATTCTTACTGTCAACTAAATTAACCATACATAATGGAATAAACCTATGATTTCTGTTTTGGCAAAGGAAGTTTTCTATTGATTTATACATATTCCGAGTGATATATATTCGAATACAGTGCTTTAAGCACTAGTTTGAAACTTGTAATTCCTAGGTTTAAACATGAACTCCATTCACATTGGTTTAATTAGTCAAGTAATATTACTATCCTATACACTTAAGGTGTAATTCAATACCGATCATATAAATATTTACTTGATAAATGAAGCATTTAAAGTTTTCATTGACAATCAATATTGGGAGTTAACATAAAATCAACTAATTCTTATAAATGGAAATAATAATTGGTTTATTTTCACAATTTTTGTAAGCTTAATTCACGAATATTTTGTATACATTATGTTTCGATAATAAAAAAATCCAAGGTTTTGTATCACGTAGATATTGGTTATAAACATAGATTCAAAACAATGTAAATCAGTTTGCATTTACTTCCATAATGAAACAGTCTTCTTTAGTGATATGTATACTTATGTAATCGTCTTATTAAAAAAAATTCTATTCAATGAATAAATAAAATAACAAAATAGGAAATAAGAAATTTCACTGCCTTTCTAAATGTTAAAAAATTAAACTTATATTGATGTTATTAAAAATCCTAGATGTATGTATTTACATGTTATGAAAATAATTTGATTTTGTCTAAATTATTTTCTCCTTATTAGAGTTATATGATTTAAATAAAATACTTGCTTCGTCGATTTCCGCCTGTAGCATTTTCAGGGCTACTGCTGGTCCTAAGCCCAAGTAAAGGAGAAAGGTTGGGCATGGAGTTGGCAACCTCATCCCTTAGAAAACAACGTTGCTAAAAAAACGTTGTCTACGTAAGATACTGAATGTCCGTTAGCTGGTTGCCATCAGCAACAATCTACTGTGGGAGTGAACAAACCAGCTTCCTACTGATTAGGAAATTAGGAAAAGACGTTAGAAGTGGATAGGACATACATTACGGAAATCACCAAACTCAATTATGAGTCAAGTCCTAACTTAGAATCCTGAAAGGAAACGGGGAAGAAGAAAGCTGAATAACGCACCACGTCAGGAATCGGAAGCAGACATCAAAAGGATAAATAGCAACTGAAAAGGATTGCTCAGGACAGAGTTGGATGGAGAATACTGATAAGCGGCCTATGCTCCTCCATGAGGAGTAACAGATGTAATTAAGTAAGTTTAATTCTTCAAGATAAGATTTAAAATTCAACAAATTATCTAGGTAAATTAATGTATTAACAAAATGTATAATCAAAATATCCAACAATGTAGGATTTAAGTTTCATTTATTATCATATTTGAATAGATAATTTTATGCCTAATGTATATGGACAAATATAAATTTTCTATTCAGTATAATGATTTAATAATGAAACAATAATTTACTCCTAGTTATTTGTAGGAAATAGACGAAAAAATTATTGAATGAAGTTTTTAGGTTTATTTTATTGTTTAAAAAAAAGAATTTTAAAGTAAACATTCGAATACATTCAGAGAGGGGTTTTGTATATATTATAGTAATTTAATAGTTGGATTGATGAGCCAATTGAAAGTAGATCAGAACCGGTTGAACTCCACTGGCGGCAGCCTCCTATACATATTTCCTGGAGTTCTAGTGAGAAGCCGTGACCAGTGGAGTTCAACCGGTTCTGTTGTGAGGTAGTAACTCACTGAAGACAATGATGGATGTGTTGCTCAATTTCGTTGATTGATTGAATTTAGATATTAACACCGTTGGATGCCAGCTCAATTGTTTAGAGATTAAGCGCTCACGCGTGAGACTTAAAGGTCCTAAGTTCGAATCTCACGAGATGGGATCATGGATGCGCGCTGCTGAGGAGTCCCACCATGGGACGAAAAGGTTGTCCAGTGCTCCCAGGTTTTCCATGGTGATCTACCTTCAATTGACTCATCAATCCAACTATTAAATTAATAGATTATAATTCTTTGTAAACTTTAATCCATCTAACAAAACTCAAATCACTACTCAACAACTTCATAGACTATAATCACATTCCAATGTGAATTTCCTTAACTTAACAACGGATAAGAAAACAAGTTAAATAAAGTCATATTACATTCAAGACATCAGTTTTGTAATACATTTACTTTACTAATATGATCAACTGACTTAATTTAGTCTACTAAATTTAGCATTCATTAATTCATCTAAATTATCTAAGACATTTTCAATAAGATTTATTATAAAAATCAAATTTACAGTCACGATAATCGTTATAACTAAAATAAAAGTATGATTTTAGTTAAAAAAAAGGAGGAAAAATGCATGCATAAATTCATTCATTATCTAACACAAATAATTACAGTTTTTATAGACAAATATAGATAGTTGCTAGTGATGGCATCCAGGACGCACGTTTCTTCCTGTTTCGGACTCGTCGGCTGGATGTACCCTCATCTCAGAGTTGTTGTTCACTCTGGGAGTTGAACCCAGTACCGTTCGCTTCAAACGCCATCGCGTTATCCAGAGTGAACATCAACTATGAGATGCAGGTACATCAAACCGATGAGTCCCGAATAGGACGAAACACACGTCCTGGATTCCACTGCTAACCACCATCCATCTTTGCTTATTATGCTTATGACTGAAGGCAATATCGAGGCAATCTGCACAGTATGAAAATATGCCAATAAGAAACTGATCAGTTGCAGTTCTAAACATCAATGAGAAGATTCAAGTAAAACAATACCAAGTGAATTGAATAACAGTTTTTGTATAAAAACAATAATTAACACTTACTGTCTAAATATTTCTTTACCAACTTTAATTTTCCTATCATTTGTTGATAATATATTTTCCAATTCAGATAATAAACTTGAATGTTTTCTTTGTTCCATACGCATTTTATATGGTGAATTTATTATTATAATCTACTAACTTTGAAAGATTTAAAATTCATTACAAATTCTATAATATTTGTAATTAGATGTTGTTGTTGTTGTTTTAAGTTCGAGTCCTTTTGCTTTATTTTTTAGTAAAAAAAAAGTTTTGTAGTTGTATTCTTTACTTCCGTTTATGTACTTAATTTACAAAATAACTTTCACACTGTCACACATATATGTATATATGTACAATATGAATATTATAAATATATATTTACAGAAATTAGATTGTTATGAAAGGTAATCAATAATTTGTGCTAATCAAGCTTTTGACCTTGAGCACAGAGTTGTTTGCGCATGCGTATATGTTTGTATAACTATTTCACTAACTACCCGAAACTATATGAATGAATCACATGATGGATAACCAATTGTAACTAGTGGATTTGATGTTATTATTTTCTTATGGAATCAAATTTATTCTAGCACAGGTTAATAAAAGATGGATGAATTATCTAACAGATAAGTGTTCTCAATAAGTTTTTATTTGAAATGCTAGAAAATATGTCACTTCACACTTAAATTAAAATCAAGTATTGATATGTCAGTAGAACTACAGTATTCAAGGTTATAAAAGAATTGTCAAATAAGATATGAATTACGTCATAATACTATCATATTCTGTTTTAATCTGACTGAATAACCAAGTATAGGTTTATACACTAGAATTTCAGCCACACTGCCATAATATCCAAAGTAGGTTTGGAACAGTTTGAACGTCCAACACAATTAGTGACAGTGCAGTTAATTACTCACTAACATGATAATCTTATGGTGAATCAAGTACTTGTAATTATCAGTATAGAGATTGTTGAATTTTTTAAAATTGAGATCATGAACCGATCAATATTAGACCACGATGGAAATGTCCGAAGCACTAGACTGCCGTTTCGTCCTATTATGGGACTCCTCAGCAGTAAGCACCCACGATCCGGCATGCGGAATTCCAACTAAGGATCTTTGGTCTCGTGCATGAATGCTTAACTTCTAGACCAATGAACCGGTGTTAACATCTAACTTCGACAAATCCATCCTATTTCGCGACCATCTTCCATCGCCTTCGGTGGGTAACTGCTTCATCCGACACGGTTGAACTCCACTATTCACGGGCTTCTAACTGGAACTTCGAGAACTACCTCTCAAAGCTAGTCGTAGATGTGCATTGCTAGAGAGTTCATTACTAAAACGAAATAACCGTCAAGTGCTTCCAGGTTTCATATCTGCTTCTATTATCCCACGTAATTTGTTCTTAGGCCTTCCTCTTTTCCGCTTCCCTTCAGGATTCCAAGTTAGGGCTTGTTTCGTGATGCAGTTTGATGATTTGCGTAATGTATGTCCTATCCATTTCCATCGTCTTTTCCTAATTTTTTCAGCTGGAAGCTGATTTGTTCTCTCCGCCTGTAGCTCTTCTAGAGCTACTGCCGGTCCCAAGCCCGGGTAAAGGAGGAGGGTTGAGCATGTGGTTAGCGTCCCCATCCCGTAGAAAACTAACTCGCTAAAAAACGCTAACCAGAAAAAAATATTCAAAGCATCTTAACTCTGCCCTGGGAGTTAGACGGTCTTCATTTAGAAGAATTATGACGCCTCATGGTGAAAGCCGAGTTCCTTCAGAAGCCACGAGGCCGATGCCCCTTCTAAAAACCAGAGCAAAAATCTTTATAGGTACATGGAACGTCCGAACAATGTGGGAGACCGGGAAGACCAGCCAAATAGCAATGGAAATGAGGAGATAAAATTTGGCAATACTGGGAATCAGCGAAACCCACTGGACCCAAGCTGGACAGAAAAAGCTAGCTACGAGAGAGATGCTGCTATACTCCGGTCACGAAGAGGAAAATGCTCCACACACTCAGGGAGTTGATCTAATGCTGTCCAAAGTAGCACGAAATGCACTTGTAGGATGGGAATCTCACGGATCCAGAATCATCTAAACAAAGAAGGAGGGGATTACAATGAATATTATCCAATGTTATGCACCCACCAATGATAGCAACGACGACATCAAAGACCAACTCCACGAGCGGCTGCAGTCAATCATAGAGAAATGCCCAAGAAAGGACCTCACCATTCCAATGGGAGATCTAAATGCCAAATTCGGAATAGACAACATCGGATATGAAGATATCATGGGACGACATCGACTGGGAGAGAAATGAAAATGGGGAAAGATTTGCAAATCTATGTGCATTCAACAAACTGGTCATAGGGGGCACAATATTTCCACACAAAGCTACATGGATCTCACATTAGTATTATTCTTACATATTTCAAACTTTCTAAGAATAGTAATGTCAGCTTCTCAATGAAGCTATTCAACGTAAAGAATGCTACACTACGAACCCTATCCGCCTGAGTTATACCATAAAAACTACATTTCTTTTACTAACTAGACACTTTCATACTTTCTGCTTACTGACGAATTCAAATCAGTTCAATTAGGAAGTGTTATGTCCTTTAGTCTGGCTACCCACTTTTGGTGCTGAGGATACTTATCTAATCCAGATTAAAAACTTGGCGCAATAGGCTGACCGACCTGACCTTGAGGCTAGACGCGTGAGTTCGAAATGCGGTAGAGAGAAGAAAAATATTCTATCACCTGATTGGCTGACAAGCACGCGAATGAGAGAAGGCAAGACAACTGGAACACTACTCGATCTATTCCTGATATCCTGATTTCTTCTGGTTTCAGATTAGTGTAACAAGGTACATGAATAAATAGATGACTAACCCTACCACAATGTGGAATAATTAGGAAAAATACAATTATGTCCAAAGCTGGGAATTAGAGTAGAAAATAGGGTGCAAAATATTATGGTTAAATAACAATAGCTTCGGAACAGAAAAGGGTATTGCAATGAATCACACATCGAACGAAAGCTTAAGTTCTGTAGAATAGATTAGGGACAAAATTAAATGTTAGTGTTTTACAAGCTTTGCATACAATGAAATAATTTCCCGAAAAATAACTTTCGTAGTTTCTCAGGGCTTCTTTCCCTGTTCACAACAGGAAGTAATCTCTGAATAGGTAATTTGCTTTATGTGTTACTGAAATCATGAATCAGTAAAGAATAAAAATTATCTATCTACCTAGCAAAATGAGGAAACAACATAAGGTTATTTTACAAAATGCTTAGATTATTTAGAACAAACTATATCATTAACTGACATTTGTCAAGGAAGTCACTGAAAAACCATAGAGTAAAGGACAACTTTTTTATTCTAATACAGAATGTCACACCCATGTACATATTAATTAAATATATAATATGTATTAATGTATAGATAAATATAATAAATGCATTGAAAAAAACATTGAATAGATTTTATCTGAGCGGAATGTTTGTAGTGTCGTTGCTATGTTAAGGCCATATAACTTATTCTAGCTTCTGAGCAAGCCAATTTATCCGTTCTACTTGAGTCGCGTTTTGCCTTTGTTAATTATTCACTTTTCAACCCAGACTGTTTTTATATGAGCGTATGCGTGTACACTTCTTATCCTATTCATCACATGTCTGTAACTTATTTTTATCTGGATATAAATATTGATTATTGCTTGATTAAACGGAGCTAGTTCACATGCCTTCTCCACTGCGCGTCCTTTTTGTTTCGCTTTGCTCTCTCTTCTTCTCTGCGATTCTCTGGTTGTCTGTTCCGACCAACGAGTGTAAAATATATACGTATTGAAACATCCATTCTCGTATTTGACTTATTTAATTCTGTTATTCATTAACGCGATTTAAGTCGATGATTATATACGAGGATAGCCGACATACGTATATCAATAGCATTCATACAATCCAATTGGAGTCAGAACCCGGGCAACTAAATGTTGTTTTTAAAAAAACGAACTATATTAAAGGCCATGAAAGTCATTCACAAACAGTTAACAATAGGATTAGATTAAAAGCAAACAATAATTTTAAGATTGATATCCTTACGACACTTCAGTATCACTTGAAGTATTTGTCGAGAACCACTACATTTTTAACAACTATTATGTAACTTGAATTTTTTTTCAGAATTTTCAATACAAATGTCAAAACAAATCTACTGTATGGGGCAGAAACTTGGAGAACTACGAAAACCATCATACAGAAAATACAAGTGTTTATTAGCAGTTGTCTACGCAAAATCTTCGGATCCGTTGGCCAGACACTATTAGCAACAACATCCTGTGGGAGAGAAAAAACCAGATCCCAGCGGAGGAAGAAATCAGGAAGAAGCGATGGAAGTGGATAGGACACGTATTGAAAAAAGTATCCAACTGTGTCAGAAGACAAGTCCTCACCCGGAATCCTCAAGGTAAAAGGAGAAGAGGAAGACCAAAGAACACATTACGCCGAGAAATGGAGACAGACATGAGAAGAATGAACAACAATTGGATAAAACTTGAAGGGAAGGTCCAGGACAGTGGTTTGGAGAATGCTGGTCGGCGTCCTATGCTCCATTAGGAGTAACAGCAGTAAGTAATGTAACTTTCAAGGAACAATTATATTTGTGCAGTTTTATCGGTCAGTCATAAGCGTATGTGAATCGGTTTGGACTCACACGATAAATAAGCATAGTTAGGTGAAATTATCAGAATAAATACCAGAGTAATAGAAGTAATAATGTAATGTAATTTCCTATTGATATTTAAGACTATACTTGATTAGATGTCTTGATACTACAAGTTGGTTATATTTTATTTGGTGGCTAAGAGTAGAACTCAGTGCAACTGATAAATCTCGTTTAGAACAACTAGATGAAAGTAGTTAATTCATAGATACCTCGCTTGAATACATACAAAACGTATGTAATAGAGGAATTTGATCAACATAACATTTACGAAAATTATTGTTAATTTATATTGTTATTAACGATTGAAATATCATTAAAAAGTATACATTAAGATGCTTTATTTAATGAATGATCTAATTACAACTTTGATTCTATTTTAATCATTGTCCGCTACTGTAGAA